AAAGTGGGCTGTGCAGGCCCAGCAACCGTTTGGGTCAAAGTTGTGGCTTGGTTAACAGGCCTTGGGGCCTGACCAGAGTTCAGTCTAGGAGAGAATCTCTGTCAAACTGAATCACAAAGCTTCTTTACTAGCCATCGATAGACAGTGTTCAGCCATATGACAATCCACTGAAACATCAGGTGAGAAATAATCACATGAGCCTGTTTTTATTACCTCAACGTGTAAAAATGCAGGATTCTAAAAATGTCAAACTTCAACCACAACTTATGCCTGTTTGACCCATAAAAATAATATCACCTATCAGTCCTTTCCTTTCACTACACACAATTAGCGATTTATGGAGTAAGGAAATAGCTGGCAGTCGTCTTTGCAGATGAAGTCAACAGAGTCTCATTGCTTTGCCAAAAGGCAGGGAAACCAACTGCTGATGCCTCTTTCCTCCAGGCAACTCAAGGTCAGTGATGTCAACTGGGCAGGACAAGCTTTGACTTCACTAGAGATTTTTTAACAGGGGACCTACACACACTACTGAGAGAAGAAATAAAATGAAAGAAAAAAATGTAAGTCTTGGCTTTTCCTTTTACTGACACTCAAATAGCAGTGCTTAAAACATCTGAAGTCAAGATAGCTCTATGGACATAAAAATCTTACCAGCCTAGCAGTTGGTCTATGTCCTGTTATATTATCAAAGGCCATGTGTGATGTCAGAAATGTCTTAGGCCTATTTTTCCCAAACCCTATTAGTTATAATACAGTTTACATAATTTCTTTCACTGAGAAGGGAGTCAAGAGTGAAAATACTTAGTGCTGAGGCTTCCTTCTGATTTTTATTGATATTGTGCTTTTAAAATATTCTTACTAGAAAAAATTTTTAATACATTTTGGCAGATACAATAAAGAGGAAAAATGAAATCAAGTAATTTAGCAGCTGCTTTTAAATTTATATCATTATTTTTCCTTTCCTTTCTTCTATTGGTGTCAAATACATTTTCTTTTAAAATACTTAACAATTTCTTTCCACACAGACTGCTTATTCATTGCAATGGATAAAAACCTAATTAGATAGTGAATAAATCAGACACCTTAATCAAGTGGCCACAATTAACGTCACCTGCAGAGTCAGTTGGCCTTCGTGTGCCTCCAGATGAGAAAGCACCAAATAAAAACATGATTATTTGGGAGGAGAGAGGAAGATGTGACAAAGGAGCAGCAGCAGCGGTAGTGATGGGCAGAAAGACCATTAGGAAAAAATGTCGGGTGAGGCTGGAGGCGCGGTTCAAAGGCAGAGTGCACACTTAACATGGGCCAGGCCCTGGGTTCCACCCCCAACACTGCTAAAAGAAAACAGTCAGTTGTGCCAACAGCAGAGGAAGGCTATGGCAATGTTCCAGGTACAAAGCAGATAAAGATACAAGACAACACAAGACTGACCCTAAGATGGATCAGTTTTCAAGGGAGTGGAGGAAACTCTCTAAAGGGCATAACTGTGCCAACTGACAGAACTGGAACACAGATGCTAGATTAAAGCACACCAGTGTTCAATTCACTGAAGTCATTCATTATACAGTGATGACACAACAGAGTAGTCTATGCTTAATCAAATACTTAAGTGCTTCAGGACCACGATGTATATAACTTTCCAAATAAAGTCTAAAGAAGGGGCTGGGAAGGAGAGTGTGTGTCTAGCCTGTATGAAGCCTGAGTTAGATTCCTCAGCACTGCATAAGCCTGGCACAGTGGCAATGGCCTGTAATCCCAGCATCCCAAAGTGGAGGCAGGAGGATCAGAAGTTCAGTTGCCCACTGCTGCATTTGAGGAGGACCTGGGCTACATGACAGCCTGTCTTAAGACAAAATATAAATATGGGAAAAAGCATTTTAGGAAAATTAAGTGGTTCTTGCCTACATTGGGTCACTGGCTGTTTTCTCCATGATATTTCAAATACACAACATAGGAAGAAATCTTTGTGCCAGGCAGTAAGAAAATGTAGTTATTTTAACATGATCATTCATCAGTGATTGAAACTGGTCAAAGCATGAAGTACTACCATTCTCCAGAGTTTACTACAAAAAGAGCAAACACTGGACACTCTGGAAGTTTACATGTTATCTTTTCTCTCTAATTTCTTTAAACAGGGCAACAGCTCTACAACCTTTTTATAGCCTACCACTTCTATAACTTTCTTACATACAAGCAAGGCTCTTCTTAGTTGGTCTCTTAGGCACTACCAATATGGATTGATGAAATCAAGTTTTTGAGTGGGCCATCTTAATCTTCTAATTCTGAGCCAAGTTTGCTGGAGAACACAGTCCTCTAAAATCTAGATCATGTCCCATATCCATGGCCCCTCACCATCACTGCATGTGCTCATCCCTAATCTGCAACAAGCAACCCAAACTGATCTTCACACAGGAAACTATGCCTCTGTCTGATTCCTGAAGTCAGTGACTGGAGAGAGAATTTAAAAGGTAGTAAATGGAAATTAAATTGTTCAGCCCTGTTCAGGAATCAGTAACTACTACTTATCCATTCTCTAAAACAGAAAGGGCAAAACATACACATATTGCTTTATTTTCCTGTTTTATTCCTTCTCATCCTAAGCAGTTGTTGTCTCCAGGATAAAACACACATTATTTCTCCCCAAATTTAAACCAATCACCTTATTTATCAAATATTTACCATCTACTCATTGGCATATGACACCCAGCCTGAATTACTGGGTGGTACTCTACAGAGGGATTATTCCAGGTAGTTTAGCCTACAAATAATCCCCAAGAAAATGATATGAAGACAATAAATATAACGATGTCTGCTTGCAGAAAGCACAGGAGCCAAAAGTGAATTATGACAAGCTGCAAAAAGGAGCACACCAGGCAAGGCACTAAAATTTAATGGGAAGACCATTTTTAAAGAAGATAAAACTGAGAAGGCGCACAGACCATTATTGCAATTTTCAAATCGTGCATATTCTTCCCCCATAAAACTTCTCAAATGCTGTTAAAAACGCACGCACCAAACCAAGCAATTACATACCCTCTGAAGCATGTAGCTGTGATTATCTGCTACTCTCAGCCATATAAAAATACTACCACCACAACTACATTCCAGCCTGTAATGTAATTCAAAACAAACAAGTCGGAGACTTCGCTCAAATGGCAGAATCAACAAATACAGACGCTTTGCAAAATGCGCTGAAGAAACTCAGCGGAGAAGGAGACGGCGCTAGCCTGGCACTGCGGTGGAACCGCGAGGCCCCCTTCTGGGCCAAGACACATAGTGCGCTCATGAGGGGTCTGAGAAGCAGAACTTCAATCCATCAGTGAACCGCACTGCAGTCCATGAGGTATACATCCAGGCTTTTGCTGTGTTATCAAACTTTAGATACAAAATTTAAATGTCTTATTGTCAAAGAATAATAGCTATTTGATTTCCGATTCAATGGATCGTTTTATTCAGTTCTGCAACCATCATTCCTGCATTCCTTTCCCTATCATCAACGGGCTATATATATATATTATTTTTTTTTGAGACTTTTGCTATGTATGTAGCCCAGGTGTGCCTGGAGTTCATGATTCTCTTGCTTCAGGCTTGACGGTGCTGGGATTATGGTTGTGGACCATCACTTCCCAGCAGCTCTCATCATCCTCCAGTAAATTACACCATCAACTGTATCTTCCTTTTCTCTCCCATTATGAAAATACTAGTTTCATAACTAGGTCCATTACAAGAAACTGTTCTTTTATCATTTTTAACTCTGTGTGTGGGGATGTGCACATGTGTGTAGGTGCACACAGAGGCCAGAAGAGGATGGTCTGATCCCATGGAGCTGGAATTATAGGCAGTTGTTAGCTGTCCTTTGTGGATGCTGGGAACTGAACTCTGATCCCCTGCAATAACAGTACGTACTCTTAACCCTTGAGCCATCTCTCAAGCCCTCCACTTTATCTTTTAAGACTATTTCTCTTCAAAGAAGGCGTCAATAAAGTTTTATTGTAACAATATGCTATAATTTAAAAATGATCAATAAACACATATTAAAAGTACTCATTTTTAACTAGATGCTTAAAAAAAAAAAGTTCTAGGGTTGGAGAGGTAGCAATCAGAGAACCTGAGTTCGATCCCAAGAACCCATGCTAAAATATAAAATAAAAACTGGCATGGTGGCACATGCCTTTAATCCCACCACAAGGGAGGCAGAGGCAGGTTAATCTCTGTGAGTCCAAGGTCAGCCTGTTCTACACAGGGAGTTCCAGGCCAGCTGGGGCTACAGGGAGACCCTGTCCCAAAAAGCAAGAAAAACTGGGCCTGGTGGCACATGCTTGTACCAGCACTGCAAGATGGAAGCAGATGGATCCCTGGACCTTCCTGGCCAGCCTAGTCTAAGGTGAGTTTCAGGCCAATAAGGAAAAATGGACTACACCTAAGGATACCATCTGAGGCTGTCATTTGGCTTCAACCCCGCCGCCAACACACACATGTGCACCTCCACACAAATTTTTCTAAGGACCATATAATCATGGTCATAATATATAAAGTCATATACAATTAGAAAGAAGCCAGGCCCCCAGGCCATGGGAGAACACAGTAGCTGTCCTACAAGGAGGACTCTGAACTCTGAGAGGCCAGGCCTTTAGCAGGGCACATCCTGGTGGAGACAAGTGCAGGACTGGGTCTGGACTCACACTCCCTGATGAAAAGACAGAGCTTTCTTCTCTTTTCTCTTCCTCCTCTTTTCTTTCTTTCTTTCTTTTTTTTTTGTCTTTTTGAGACAGGGTCTCCCTGTAGCCCCAGCTGTCCTGGAACTCACTATGTAGACCAGGCTGGCCTTGAACTCACAGAGATCTGCCTATCTCTGCCTCCCGAGTGCTGGGATTAAAGGCCTGCACCACCACACCCGGCTTGTTTTCTTTTTTTGAGGTAGGGTCTCCTTGTAGACATAGATGGCCTGGAACATGCTATGTAAACTAGGCTGGTCACCATCTCACAGAGATCTGCCTGCCTCTGTCTCCCAAGTGCTGGGATTAAAATGTATACCACCATGGTTAGCTCTTCCTCTTTCTTTTTCTTAACCAATCTTCTGAAGACTTATTACTTTTTGTTGCATGTGTATGTGTGTGGTGTGTATGTGTTATGTACACGGGATCCCACTGTGTGGATGCATTTCAGGGGGTGTGCATTTAGACATGTGAGCACCTGAATGTGAAGGCCAAAGGTTGACACACTGAGCATCCTCCTAGATCAATCTTCACCATATTCACTGAGGCAATATCTCTCATTTGAACCCAAGCTCACCAATAAGGGCTAATATAGTTAGCCAGTTTGCTTCAGAATCCCAGAATCCCAGCTCTGCCTTCCATGTGCTAGAATTACAGGCAGGCCACCACAGCTACCTACGGATCCAAACTCCAGCCCTCACCCTTGCATGGCAAGGACTTTATCCACTCCACCATCTCCCCAGCCCATCCAGAGCCTTCTTAGACAGGGCTAAAGCTGTGGTGGAAGGGCATGTACTGCTTGCTAATTTCTAAAACCTCAAACCTTCATTTTTCCCCTTCCCAAAACATTCTTTCAGCTTGTGGAAAAGCTAATAGTTGTTTACATTTGTCAGACTTTTAAAGGGCTAATTTGTTCCCTCAGCAGAGCAAAAGAGCGAGACACCACTTTCCACAGAGCAACAGCAACACATAAACATGCTCAGCCAGGTCAATAGTTTTCAGTCAGGAATTCCATCCAGGTCATGGAGGGGTAACTGTCTTCATCAGAACAAGTTCAGGGTTTTTGACAGTCCTTTTTCCGAACTTTTGATTTTGGTGCTGTGAAGAAAAAAAAAAGACAGAAAGAGCTATGAGGATGTAGGCTCAGGCCAGATTTTCCTCACTGAGCTGTTTAAAGGGAGGTATACCAGATGCAGCCGGAGAAAACTGACCATTGGGATTTTCTTGCTTGTAGAATGTCTTTAACAGCCCCACCGCCTCCTCAGCTCGATATCCCGGCACACACTGAAATGAGGAATGTGAGATGATCACAGGCTGTGAAAATTTGGGAAGTGTTCCAACAGCAATACACACAGTACTGAGCAAACAGACCACACGAGGTTAATCATTCTAAGCAAATTAGCGTGTGGACAACCAGCCTTAGCCAAACATCACTTTCAATCAACTCTTTTAAAAAATATTTTATTTATTCTTTTTATTTTCTGTGTATGAGTGTATTGCCTGCATGTGTGTAAGTGAACACTTCAAAAGGACGTTGTAACGATTTAATGAAATATTAGACAGGTGCTCCCTATTTAATTTTTTAAAGACAGAGTCTCACTAGGTAGCCCTGGCTGTCTGGAACTCACTATGTAGATCAAGCTGGCCTTGAACTCACAGAGATCCACCTGCCTCTGCCTCCTAAGTTCTTGGATTAAAGGTGTAGACTGGGCAGCACCAGCTATTTTTATCTGCTATTATTTACTACTCTCATTAAGTGTTTGATGCTATACACCTATGGTTGGTAAACTATGTCTGGTGAACCAAATCCAACCCATAGCTAGGAATGATTTTTATGTTTCTAAGAGTTGTGTTTTAACATGAAATCAGGTGGGCAACTGTGGGTAGGGGGTGTAAATATAAGGTGTTTTGTATGAAATTTGCAAAAATTCTATTAAAGAGTTGGTTTTTATTATTTTTATTATATGTGTATGAGTGTATTGTTTGCATGTATCTAAGTGCAACAGTATTGTGCAATGCCCATGGAGGTCAGAAGAGGGCATTGGATCCCATGGAACTGGAGTTAAGATCAGTTGCTAGCCGTCATGTGGGTACTGGTTTTCGAACCTAGGACCTTCTGTAAGAGCAGCCAGTGCTCTTAATCACTGAGTCAACTATCCAGCCCCAAGAGTTGTTTTTTTTTTAAAAAAAAACAAAACACTGTGCAACAGAGACACGTCTCTCACAAGGGCTAAAATATTTACTACCTAGTCCTTTACAGATAAAGCTTTTCAATTTTTGCTATGGAGGGTTTTTAAAAAGGAACTGTTTAGTTTGTTTTTTTCTTTGGAATCTAACTGGGCAGAAGAGATCAAAACATGTGAAAGAATAACTTGTGATGTCAGTAAAGAAAGATAGATGAAACACACATTGAAAATGAAAGTAAAGAAGCAAAGAAAATGCAAGCAACCTAGATGTGCCCATTACCTGATGAATGGATAATGAAAATATGGTACATTTATACAATGGAATATTATCCAGCCATAAAGAAGATGAAATTATGAGATTCACAGATAAGTCAGTGGGGCTGGAAACAATCACCCTGAGTGAAGTAATTCAGTCCAGAAAGACAAACCTCAATGTTTTTCTTTCATTTGTGGATGCTAGCTTTGGATCTTTAGGTATGTCTATTTCAGCTAGAAAATCCATAGAGATCAGGAAGGTAGTAAGGGGCTATGGGGGAGCACTTTTAAGGGAGGGGCGATAGAATGCAGTGATATAATGGGGAAGGGAATAATGAAGTAGGAAGGTTTAAATGGGGGTAGAGAACCAGTGGGAGGGCAGAAAAGGGGGTGAGAGAGATAACCAATACTAAAGGCCTTTAGGAAAAGTCATATGGAAACCTACTACTGTAGAAACTTCCATTTATATATATGAAGACTTTAAATGCAGTTATCCTGTAACAGGAGGACAATGCTCCTACTAGACACCACAGGCAGCAAATAAAAAGCCCAGTGCCAGGAATGGGTACCTCTTTTGGAGCTGTTGGTCAGTTGGGGGAGGTATCCCACCGACCCCTGAATATTACAGGCTTTTTTGCCAATGCTCTTGGTGACCCTCCAGAACCTGCAGTAAGACTCTATGATAAAGACACTACATACCCAAGTTGTAGAACAAACAAGCAGAAATCAAGTTGGTACCCACCTTGAAGCTTTATCCCTACTAGCTAGCTAGCCTGCATAGTGCTGCAAGGTGCTATGAATGAAAAGTAATCATCAACCTTACCAGGTGTGAACCCTTTAAGTTCACATAATGACTGGCCTGGCAAGATATGGTTACTGGTGCAAGAGTGGCACAAATGTAGTAACCAAACATTTTCTGATCGGATTTAAGGCCTGCTCCACAAGATATAACCCACGCCTGGCACCAATACCGGGGCCAAGAATCTGTGGCTAGACAGGTCATAGATAGACCCTAGGGGAAAACCCTCTACTATTATTCTGCTAAATGGACAGTAAGTGTTCTTGCCTTCTGCCTTATTTGAGAGAGGGTTTCATGTTGTTCACCACTGACTACAGCAGCTCAGGTGGTCCATGAGCTTCTGGAGTCTTCTGTCTCTGCCTCCCACCTCACTATAGGAACACTGGGATTACAGACACCTGTTACTGCATCTGGCTTTCTGTGGGATCTGGGGACCCAAACTCAGGTCCTCATGCTTGTAAGGTGGGCACTTTGCCCACGGAGCCACCTCCCCAGCTCCTTACCAACATTTTAGAGAGAAATGTTCCACCATGTCTGATATCTTAATTTTGCCTAGAAACTATAAGAAATTATTTAGATCATTATCATAAAGGAAATATTGTACAGAGTCAGCAATTCATTTGCAATGTGTTACATAAGCAAAGTTTGGGCTACTCATAGAAATGATAAGAAGAATGAAGTCACTTAGCAGATGTCTTTAATGATCAAGCTGATTACCTCATTTACTCTCCATCTCCCAATTACAGTTTCTTTCTGATGTGATGTTAAAGGAATCTATTCTTAAATGTACAGCAGTTGTTAGGAAAGCTTATAGTCTGCTGGGAAAATTCAAGGCAGATGGTTTTATAAAACTTATTCTGAGCAGGATTCAGCCTTCATAAGTCCTTATCAGGTTCTAAGAGTACCTGAGGTCTTTGAAGAAAACCATTCATAAACTCCAGCATTTGTTGAATTTTTTTCTTTTTAGAGTGTAACAGTTGGGGGTTAATCTTCCATCATGGAGAAAAAGCCAGTATAGGAAAACTGGTATGCATCCCAGACAAAACTCTGGTATATAGACTCCCAATGCTTACACTTTGAACCATAAACCCTTTGGAGGTGTGGCAGGAGTTAAAAAAGGAAAGTAGAATTTCTAAGAGATGAAAGGTATACAGATTATCTGGTCTGAGAGAAGTCTCGACTTAATTGGGCCAGCTGTGGTGGTGCACACCTCTAATCTCAGCACTCAGAAGGCAGAGGCAGGGGGATCTCTGTGACACAGAGGCCAGCCTGGTCTACACAGAAAGTTCCAGGCCAGCCAGGGCTATTAGGGAGACCCTGTCTCAACCTCCTATCCCTGAAATTAAAATGACTACTAGATATTATTAATGGTATATGGCAGCCCAGTAAAATGATGGAATTGGTGCAAAAACACTGTTATTGTGAAGAGTACTCCATCACTGAGTGGGCCAAGCTCAGACACACTACGGAGCCAGCAGCACTCACTGAAAGTTCCAGGAGCAGAGAGGTTCTGCTCAAGCTTGTTAGGTGTTAAGGGGAAGCTGGAGACTCCCCTTCCAAAGAGATTCTATAAGCGAAGAGAAAGTACACAATGAGAAACTATTCCATTTTCCTCCACTGAGACATAAGAACTCACCCAGAGTCCCAAGATACTGTCTGATTCTGTATGGGGTTTTGGAAGACCACATACAGTTGGCAAGTCTATCAAGAGATGGATAAAGGGAAGGAGGGAGGAAAAGATGGTGGGGGGATGGGAAGAAGTTAGGAATGAAGAATGAAGAGGGGGTGCACAAGCAGTGATATTACCTGAAAGGGTTTCCCGGTATTCGGTAAGTCAGCAGAGGCAACGTTTAGAACAGAACCACAACCACCGAACCGTTCATTCTGACAGCCGTAGACGACCAGTGGGATTTATGAGACGGAATTAAGGTCCTGCATATGAACGGAAGGGCATGGCAAATGGTAGTAGACTGATGCTACCATTCTAGAAATGAGAGTCTGCCTAGACTTCAAGATAATTAAAGCTGTGGTTAATCTTAAAAATCATGCAATGCAGTTACACAAAAGAAGAGAAAGAGGCTTAAGGTACTTAGACATTAAAATCTAGCAATTGTGGGTCACTAACATGGCTCAGCTGGTAAAAGTGCATTGCTGTGCATGCCTGAGTTTGATCCCCAGAACCCACTTAAAGATGGAAGGGGAGAACCACCTCCTGAGAGTGAGGGTTGTCCTCTGACCTCCACTGGGTGTTATGGTATATTTGTATGCACACACATACACAAATACATAAATTAAAAAATTAAAATCTAGCATTTGTAAACAGATTGGAAATTGAGTGTGCAGTCGCTTACTATGCACAATTTAATGCATTTTCTGTTCTCTAAATCACTTTTTCAGAATCATTATAGAATTAGAGCCGGGAAAGAGGCCGAAATTTAATTCAGGAATTTCACCTTTTAAAAAATAGTTCAGGGGCTGGAGAGATGGCTCAGGGGTTAAGAGCACTGACCGCTCTTGCAGAGGACCTGGGTTCAATTCCCAGCACCCACATGGTGGCTACAAACCGTCCTTAACTCCAGTTCCAGGGGAATCTGAAGCCCTCTTCTGACCTCCACAGCACTGCACAACATGGGTGCACTCACATACATGCAGGCAATACACTCATACACACAAAATAAAAATAATAAATAAAATATTTTAAAAACAGTTCAGTCCTTGGAACTCTTGGTGGCAGGAGAGAACTGATTCCTCAAAGTAGTCCTTATAACTGCCCCATAAGGACTGTAGTCTGCATGCACACATGCACACACACACACACACACACACATACACACACACACACAAACAAGATTAAGATAACCAATCCCCCCCCAAAAAAAAACATATTGTAGCCTGGTGTAGTGATACGCACCTATAATCCTAGCACTTGGAAGACACAGGCAAAAGAATCAGGAGTTCAAGGCCAACCAGCATAGTGAGTTCCAGGCCAGCCTGGGCTACATGAGATCTAATCTCAAAACAAAAATAAAAAACCAAACCATAACAGCAACCAAAAACACTCCACCCAATCTGTTCCTGGATCTTTCCCCAAATAATATGTAGTTTGCATTTCAATATAAAACAGACGGAAGCAAAGCCATTATGTAAGGCAGAATAAGGAAAACTTTTAAGTGGCTATAACTCTTCTTACATGGAGACAGTATGTTTTCTTGTACTCCCAAACTTCTCTGTTATTTTTAGTGATAAAACTATTTGCATATAATTTTAGAAGTAGGTAACAATATAAGTAGGAAGGAGTGCTTGCCTAGTGTGCACAAGGTTCTCAGCATTGTAAAATAAATAAATAAGTAACAAAGAAAACAAAATTTAAATGACCCATGATTCATTATCCAGAGGCAAAACATGGCTGCATATTCGCCAAAACATCCCCTACACTTCAACTTAATTTAGACTCATCTTTACACAAGAGTTGAAGTTAGGTCCAAGCTTTTCTTTCTGTGGCTTCTTTGTTCAATAGATGTGTTTATTGATACAGAAAAAAACCCATAATTTTACTATGTAAAATCTTTCCACTTTGAGCTAAAACATAATATACTTAATAATGTGTTTTATAAGTCTATGTTTCTTTATATTAAGAAACAGAAACCTGTGTAGGTATAGTTTAGTGATAGAGCACTTTAACATGCACAAGACCCTAGGTTTAAGCCTCACCATGAGAAAGAACAAGAATAAAAGAGAAAATGGGTCATTTTCCTTTTCACAGGCAAGGTACAAGACATGAACCTAAAACACCAAAGGATACTCATGAGGCGGAGAGCAGCTGCACACATAATGCACGGCTCCACGGTGACATAAAGCACAGTGTGTTCAAACACCACAGAAGGACTCTGGCCATTTTGACGACACCAATCCAGGACCTGATCAATGGCCACCATTTCAGCATGTCGAGTAGCCTTAAAAGAGAGAGACACTTGCTTTGATATTGCTTGTTTCATATATCTGATATTTTTTGAATGTGCAAAAACATACAGAATATTCCTATAATTTCTGTCTGCATTTGAGTATGTGAGGGGTGCCCTTGACCATCTAGTCCTCAGTTCAGATATCATAACCTCACCAACAGAGGGTGCCTAATCAAAGTACTGTATTAATCTTGGTGTATTTTTAGTTAAGTTCCTAAGTACCTCAGGGGAAACTTTTCATTAAAAAGCCATAGAGAGATATCTCAAAAAAAAGAAGAAAAAAAAGATATATATGATTTCTAAATATTTTAGAGGAAGCTTGAAATTTTCATAAGCCTGTGCTCCAGTTTCAAATATATTTTCAAGACTGTCACTGACCTCACTCTAAAGGAAATCTATATTTAGTTTACTGGAGTATAATCATGTACATTTTGGGGGATGAGCTTTTATATAATGGCAGACTCTACAGAAGCACAGACTTGAGATTTGTCTCAGATACTTCATCACCCAGCATACGGAATATTACACTTGAATCTGAATGCTGACAGCGACAACTCTATGTAGTTTGGAACACGCTACCCACTTTCTCTAAACTTTGGATTCCCCATATATAAACTGGAGCATCCTGCTATCCATTCCTCTACACCTCCCAGAGCAATCGGAGTTACATTATACCACTTAGGTACTCAGCTAGCTCTCTTCAACTCTTCTTTCCCTCTTATTAAAATAGCTTAATGCCTAACTTCCTAAACACATGTGATATACCAATAGTTAAATGAAGATCCAGACAACCTAAACCTATAACAAACACTGAAGTTTAAGTAGTAATTAAAAAATCTCCCCACAAGAGTCTGGAGAGATGGCTCAGCAGTTAAGAGCACTGACTGATCTTACAGAGGACTCGGGTTTGATTGCCAGCACCCACATGGCAGCTACGAACCGTCCTTAACTCCAGTTCCAGGGGAATCTGAAGCCCTCTTCTGACCTTCACAGCATTGCATGACGGTGCACTCACATACATGCAGGCAATACACTCATACACATAAAATAAAAATAAATAAAATATTAAAAAAAAAATCTCCCCACAAAGAAAAGCCCAGTACTGAATGGGTTTACTGCTAACAAATTTTAAGGAAGACCTAATACTAATATTCCTCAAACCATGCCACAAAATATAAAGGAAAAGAACCCTGCCAAACTCCTAGAAAGTCAGTATTACCCCGACACTAAAGTCAGATAAGGACACAAGAAAGAAAACTACAGACCATTTTTCCTTATAAACATAGATGCAAAAATTCTCAAAATTCTCACGAACCACATTAAGATCGTACATCACAATCAGGGAGGTTTCATTCTAGGGATACAAAATTGGTTATACATATGCAAATCAGTAAATGTAATATACAACATAAATAGAATTAAAGACAGAAATAAGATGATCACCTCAATAGATGCAGAAAGGGCAACAGGCAAAGTTCGACATGCCTTCATGGTAAAAATCCTAAGAAACCTGGAATAGAAGGCATGTATTGCAACATAGCAATTGCTGTGTGTAATAAACCTGTAGCCAATGACTAAATGAGGAAAAACCGAAAGCATTTCCTCTAGAACCTGGAACGAGACAAGGGTGACCACTTTTTCTACCCTCATTCAATGTGATGCTAAAGTCTCAACTAGACAGTAGAACAAGAGAAAGACATGATCCTGAAAAGAACCTTGTGGACTGTGCCAGAAAACCTTTGAATGTGAAAAATACTTTCAACAAAATAGCAGGATACAAAATCAACATATAAAAGTATAGACAGGAAAAACATCGCCTTTGCAATAGCTTAAAAAATATTTTGGGATAAATCTCACAAATGAGGTGAAGGACCTCTGTGATGATTTCAATGAATGTCCCTCCTAGGCTCCAAGTTGAAAACACTTTGCCCTCAGCTGCAGCTGGTGGTGCTGTTTTGGGAGGTGTGGCCTTGCTGCAGGAAGCGTGGGGGGTGGGAGGCTTTGAGAGTTCAAAGCCACATCCCACTTCCATTTTGTCTCTCTCTGCTTCTTGCACCTACTTGAAGATGTGTGCCCTTGGCCTTTTGTTCCAGCTGCCTCCTGCCATGATGGACTTATCCCTCTGGAACCATAAGCCAAATAAACTATTCCCTCTATAATTTGCCTTGTTCATGGTATTTTATCATAGCAACAGAAAAAATAACTAATACAACCTCTACAATGAGGGGCTGGAGAGATGGCTCAGAGGTTAAGAATATTGGCTGCTCTTGCAGAACACCCAGGTTCAAACCCAGCAGCAACATGGCAGCTAACAACTCTCTGAAACTCCAGTTCCCGGGAGTCTGACACCCTCTTCAGACCTCTACAGGCATTGACAATGTGGATGTACTTACACACATGCAGGCAAAACATACACATAAAATTAATAAATAAAATATTTTTAAAAACAACCTGTACAATGCAAACTTTTAGATACTCAAGAAAGAAACTGAAGATACAGAAATAGAAAGACATCATATGAGCATTAATTGCAGAATTAATGTTATGAGAATGGTTATATTAGCAAAAGTAGCCTACAGATTTAAGCTCCATCAAAATTCTAATAACATTCTTTGCAAAATTAGAATAAAACAATCTATGGAAACACAAAAGACCCCAAATAGCCAAAGCCATCCTAAGTGAATGACCAGTACCAGAAGTATCACAATACCTGACCTCCAAATATAACACAGAGCCATAGTGACAAAGACAGCAGGCTCTGGCACAAAACAGACATCCAGATTAGTGAAATGGAACAGAGGACCCAGAAATAAACTCACATGGCTACAGCCACCTGATATTTGATAAACGTGCCAAAAACATACATTGGAAAAAAAGACCGCTTTTTAAACAAATGGTGCTACGAAAGCAGGACATCCACATGCAAGATGAAATTAAACCCATCTCTCTTACTTTGTGCAAAAACTGATTCAAAATGGATTAAAGATCTTAATATAAAACCTGAAATACTCTAAGAGGAAAAGACAGAACATACTTCAAGATACAGGCATAAGTAAAAAAAAAAACAAAAACTTTCTGAAAAGAACTATGGCACAGGAAGTAACCTTGGAATTGACAAATTTAGGAGCTTCTGCACAGCATGGGCAACTATAGGCAGAGAGAAGAGACAGGCTACAGAATAGGAGAAAATCTTTGCCAGCTATACCCTGGACATGGGGTTAGTATCCACAATATATAAAGAACTGCAAACATTAGACACCAAACCCTTCCCCTCAAATCTTCCAGTCAATAAATGGGCCAACGAACTGAGAGGACATATCTAAAAAGAAGAAAATACAGATGTCAAAAAAAAAAAATCCTTGAAAAAAATGTTCTATCTCCTGCCATCAAGGAAATGCAAATTAAAAATGCTTTGAGAGGACATCACACACAAAATGGATAGCATCAAGAAATACACCACAACAAATGCTAAACATGGAACTACCACATAACCTAGCTATAACCCAGTCATAGCCCTTATAGGTATACACCTTAAGAATTCTAAGTTCTACCAGAGAGATACTAGTACGTGCTTATTACTACTCTATTCGAAACAGCAAGGAAATGGAACCAACCTAGATGCCCATCAACAGATGAAGATAAAGAAAATATACAATGGAATCTTATTCAGCCATAAAGAAAAATGAAATAATGAGACTTACAGGAAAATGGATGGAACTTAGGAATGTGGGTGTGCAACTCTCTCTCTCTGTGTGTGTGTGTGTGTGTGTGTGTGTGTGTGTGTTGTGTGCATGTAGTGCATATGTACATGTGTGTGAGGCCAGAGGAGGATGTTGGGATCCTATTCTAACAGTTTCTTCCTTATTCTTTTAAGAGACTCTCACAAAACTTGGAGCTAGGCTGGAAGTCAGCAAGAGCCCAAGATCCCCTTTTCACTGCTCCCCACAGCTCTGGGGTTACAGGTGTTGGCACGGCCACACCAGCTTTGTATGTGGGTGCTGAGGATTCAAGTTCAGGTCCTCACTCTTGCATCACAAGCAATCTTACCCATCTCCCCCTTCCCAAAATTATTATCCTAAGCAAAGTATCCCAGATGCAGAATGGCAAATACTGCGTGCTTTCTTTCAAAGCAGGGCCTGGATTTTAATTTTCATATATGTATACATGTAGAGGGGGTTGGGGGTGGGGTCTGAAGGCTGGAAGATGGAGGAACATAGATCATAAAATGAGACAGAAAACCATGAGGGAATAAGAGTTCTTAAGGGCGAGTTGGGGATGGGGGGAAGAAAAGAGGTTTAGAGAATACATGTGACAAGAAGGAGGCCACTGGAGGAAGAAAGGGGCCAGCAAGGTGGGACAGGGAGCTGGGGGAGAGGATGGGAGAAGTGTCACCCAAAAGCATAAATGAAAACCTCATAATGAAACCCGGTGCTTTGCATGCTAATTTAAAAAGAAAACTAACGATAACAGCAGCAACAACAGCAACAACAAAACCCCCAAAGTAGTTAGTGCACAGATTCTCTATGCAATAATTTATAATATCCAGGACAATAACATTTATCAATAATTTATACTGAGTGCTAACTATATACAAGCTATACATGGTAAAATATATATATATCTGCCCTCCACAAGCATAACATTTGGTGAGGCCAACAGAAAGATGCTCATTTCCCATGGTCTAGAACAGGGAAAGGAAAGTGCTGGACTTTTGACCCAAGATGCTCTGATAGACAGAGTCAGACAGGAGCAAGCATCACAGGGGGATGAGCAGGTACAGGTGATAAAATCAGCAACTCATTGTGTCAGCAGTATCCCCAGCCGCTCCCGAGTGCAAGTCCATCCACTGAGGTCTAGTCAGCCCATCTAGTGCCCCTTGTTTTAGGAAGATCCGCTCTTCTTCACCCAGCAGCAATCAATTGCCAGTATTTCTTCAGATAAGATTGCGGTCTGCTGTTCATTTTCCCAGTTCTATGCTGGGTTTTTGTCTGCCTGAGTTTGCATGGGACTTGTGTGGCCCTTAACAGGGATGACAGAGTATATGGGCTCCGGGCAGGGGGCTATGGGAGGGTGCCAGTGGGGATGGGGGTACAAAGATGATTTAAGATTATTTGAGATGTTCTGTATGAAATACACAAAAATTCAATAGAAACAAAAGAATTTTTTTTTTTAAATCAGGAATTCAGAGATGGAGGTAATTAAAAAAGAAGGCACGGTCCCGGCAACACAACGAAAACAACCAAATAACTTGCAAAAAAAATTTCCTCTAACCTGAGTCTTTAAAACTCAGATTCAGGATTCCTAAGACATATCTCCCTCATAGTTTTCAATAAATACTAATTAAACTGAATTATTTTGGCCAAATCCTCCTTTTACTGCTAGAGAAACAGAAGCTATGTTACCATGTACTGAAAACACACAGGGAGGTGGGGTGGCAGCAGAACTTCAGGTCTCTTCACCTGGGGCCAGGGCCTTTCTGTGTTGTATTCAAAGACTAAGTCTACATGAGACATGACAGAGAAATAACCCTGGTTAACTTCAGAGTACATAAGAAATCCAAGTTATTGGAGGGTTAGGTCATTAGTTCTCATATTAAACACATCATACCAACCATAAAATATAAATAGGAGGTATGACAATTATTTAAAACAGAATTGCGGGGCTGGAGAGATGGCTCAGCGGTTAAGAACACTGACTGCTCTTACAGAGGACCTGGGTTCGATTCCCAGCAGCCACATGGCAGCTATGAACCATCCTTAAGGGGAATCCAAACCCCTCTTCTGACCTCTGTGGCATTGCATGACATGGGTGCATTCACATACATGCAGGTAATACACTGATACACATAAAATAAAAATAATAAATAAAATATTAAAAATAAATAAATAAAATAAAACAGAATTGCTAGGTGAGCATCAATATATTCACTAATTACAATATTATGTTTCTAATTTGTCTCAGATCTTTTTATACCTCATAAGTGTTTTGTAAATCTGAGTTTCTATTTAGTATGAGTTTTGGTAAATCTTAGGATTTCTTTTTTTTTTTTCTTCTTTTATGTTTGTTTGATTTCAGAGACAAGATCTCCCTGTTGCCCCAGCCAGCTAGCTGGCCTGAACTCACTACATAGACCAGGTTGACCTCAATCTCACAGAGATCTGTCTCTGCCTCCTCACAGTGGGATTAAAGGTGTGTGACATCATAACCTGTTGTCTTTTTTCTTTTTGATGATGAACTTTTAAGGCCTCAGAGCACAAGTTCCAACACGACACTGAGACTGTTCTCTGCTCCCAAAGCACAGAAGGTCAAAGTCCACTGAGTCCACCTAGTGCTTTATAATCATAACATTTAGCACTGTACTTTCACCTGCTTACACTTCCCAAGTGTATGTACAACGACCCGCTGTTGAGATGCCAGGTTTAAGAAGTGCTCCTTTAACCATCAACTTGTCAATCTGACTACAATGAAATCACATGAGCTATTAAAGCACACCTCCACATAGCTGAACACTGCTGCTCTTGGACCTTATCTCATTGAATTATCTAATCTAGAAATGTTTTCTCAATATAATTTTTTAGACCTCTCCCCAAATTTGAATGTAAATTGAAGGTCTTTTTTTATTTACTGAAAAAACTTAAAGGAGAAGAAAGAATGTATTACAAATTAAACTGATCTACTTCACAAAGTTGAAATTTCATGTAGTAGATCAGTTGAAAGTGGAAATGGACTTGTTTCATTGGCATTGACATGCTCATACAACAAAACTAGGGTTTCACTCAGATGTTAAATACTACGAAAAAATTAATCATTTCTTGGCCTTTTGGCTAATATCACAAACAGAAAAAATGATCTACTATAATTTTATAGCTTCAATTAATTTTTCTCTTCTAAAACAAAAGTCATTTTATCACTGTTATAATCAGAATAAAAAGAGCTTGAATTCAAAAAGAAAGGGGGAAGACAGGGTTGTGGATATGGCTCAGTGGGTGAAGTGCGGGCCGTGCTAGCATGGGGACCTGAGTTAGGACCCCCAATGCAAGGGAAAGCAAACGGGGATCCCTGGGGTTGCCAGCCACCCAGCTGAGCTGATAAGCTCCAGGTTCTCCAGGTTCAATAAGAGACCTGGTCTCAAAAAGTAAGGTAGAGAGCAATTGAGAAAGATGCCTTACCTCGACCTCTGGCCTCTACACAGGCACATGGTGCACACACACACACACACACACACACACACACACACACACACCAGGGATGGGGAGGGAGAGAGAAGACACTGCCCCATAGAACCACATCTGGTTTCAACTCACTAACTGCCTCCCAGCATGGCTACAGTATGTCTGCATTCACACTGCTCAACTCACATTTTTGGTTTGATTGACTTCATTTCTTCCCTTCCCCACAACTTCGTTGTTGTAGACCATGAGGCAGCCAACAGGAACCTCAATATTCTCAAGTGCATCTTTGGCCTGAAACACAAAGTGGAAAATCTGAGAGGTAATGCTCAGTGCTCGAATTCAAAGACACAGATGCAGTGTGAATGGGATGTATAGATGCACCACAAGAATCACAGCTTGAGTTTTCCCTTTTCTCAAGCTGAGTGTCTCGGTGCTGTGTGATGCCTGTGTTCTCTTCTGTGTGTCCATGTTAAGGAGGACTCAGAAATAAACACATCCCTCTACAGGTCCTCAGTCACTTATTTCTTCTTACTGGGCACATATAAGTAAAGGAGTACTATTGATCAATGCTCTTAAAACGCAAAGGTCACCCCTTTTCAGATACTGTCCATATTTACAAACAGGTAGGAAAATATATAACATCTGTAAATAGTTCATTATGACACTTTCCCTTGCTAAAATTGTACTTGCTAGGGGCTGGAGAGATGGCTCGGCGGTTAAGAACACTGGTTGTTCTTGCAGAAGACCCGGGCTTGAATCCCAGCACCCACATGGCAGCGAACAACTCTCCTAACTCCAGTCCCAGGGGATCTGACAGCCTCTTCTGACCTCCACGGGCATTGCATGACACAGGTGCACTGACCTACATGCAGGCAATACATGCATACACATAAAATAAAAATAATAAATAAATTTTTTTAAAATTGTACTTGCTTACTGGGGTGGGGCTTCTCTAAAATTACAAAAATGATTGTATAGAGTACCAATACTATAAAAATGACCAGACTGGATGTCACTCTGCCCCACAGTTTCTATTCTAAGTGAGACAATGAAAGTTGGTCAGTCTATGCAAAAATGGCACAATCGCTTGGAAAGCATTTTGGAAGTTTCTCTTTTCAAAAGATCTTATTTTTGTGTATATGAGTGTTTTGCCTACATGTATTTAAGTGTACCACATGTGTGCCTGGTACTCCAGGTCACCAGAGGACTGGGCTTTCTTTTTATCGTCCATTAATTCCTTGGCCTTTTGATTAATATCACAAACATAGAAAAATTATCTACTAAGTGTTCTCCCAGCAAAATATCACATAGAAAATATGATAGAAAAATTTTAAAGAGACAAATGACATCACCGAACAGGAATGGCCTTGCTGAGGGTGCATGGACAGGCAACTGTAATGGCAGTCCACAGAAAGCGGGGTGAGAATAACAAAGTCCACGCAAGGGAATTTAGAGATGCTGTTTTCCAATAGTATGTGTTACATATGCATAAGCATGTACATCGATTCCGGTTGACGAAGGCTCAAAGCTTCTTCTTAAGCTGCTCATTGTTTCACCCCATTCTGCCCCACACTCCAGTTCCCTCCTACCTCCCACCTCTCTGCCAAGTATGAAAGAATTCAAGAACAGGTCTAACATGCAAATGGCTTTGAACCTAACAACCTGGCCTATTTGGGAAGAGGCCAAAGTTCAGTAACTAAAATGGCTACTTGATCTTACACAAGTTAACAAATTTTCAACTTAAAAAACTGAAGGGAAGCGCTGATTTTCCCACCCCAGGCAATCTTCATTTTATGTAGAACTGTAATTTGTTTTTGTTTTGTCTAGAAGCGTTTGCAAAAGTACAGATAATGAAAGCTCCTACATAGAACAGTTATTGTAGTTTTTGACTATCTTCTCTGAAGACATCACTATTATAAACTACTTCCTAGTGGTGGATAATAAAAGTGGACAGAAGAAAGGAGACCAGTAGTTTACAGACTTTTGAGGAATTCCCTCCCCACAAATATTTCTTACTAAAAACAAAAACTCAGAGGAAAAAACAAGTTAATGAGAAATAACTCTAAGGTAGATCAGTGTCACACAGGAAAGGTTCAGGTCTACTGTAACTGCGACTGAAATGGCTCCCAGAGGCTCTGTATCCACTATTCCTCCACATGGTGCTGAAGGCTTCTGATCCGCCATCATTCTCCACAACAGCTGGTAGATGAACCTCTACAGTATTTTGTTGTGGTTTCTAACCTTTTTGGAGTCAAAAATCTCCCTTGAAAAATCTAACCAGAAGTATGGAGGCTGTCACTTAAAAAAGGCACATGCCCATACAGTGTCTGGGTTCATAGGTCCCGTTACTGGGTGTGCTGGATAGCTTTAGTGTCAACTTGACAAACCTGGGTTGAGAGAGCCTCAACTGGGGAATTTCCTTCATTGGACTGGCCTGTGGCCATGTCTGCGGGGCATCTTCTTGATGAGTGATGTGGGAGGGCCCAGCCCACTGTGGGTGGTGCCACCCCTGGGCAGATGGGCCTATGCTGCAAAAGAAAGCAGGCTGAGCAGCGGCCAGGGAGCAAGCCAGTAAGCAGTGTTCCTCCATGGCCTGTGCTCCAGCTCCTGCCTCCAGGTTCCTGCCCTGAGTTCCTACCTTGGGCTCCCTGAAGAACTATGACCTAAGGATGTAAGACAAACTCTTTCCTCCCCAAGTTGGTATTGGCCAGCAAGTTTTGTCACAGCAATGGAGAATCAAACTAGGACACTGACCCTAGGATTAGTGAACACTGTTCAGGAGAGACAGTAGAGGAAGTCCTTCCTTTCTTTGAACCTGGCAGTTCCTCTGGTCAAACTTTCTTTTCTTCTCCACCAACCCACATCTATTTTGCCTCTTAAAATGAAGAAGAAATCAGTCCTATAATTTATCTCACCTGACTTCTCAGGACCTTATCTGATGGTGTCTTGTGTTTGTCCCCAGACTACCTATGAGCTTTTCTATTTGTGCATAGCTTAATCCTAAACCTTAATCTTGCTCACCTGAGAGTCTTAGAACCCAGTACAAGGCCTGATATACAGGGAGCACTTAACCAAACCACAGCTGTTGAAATGGATGAGTTCCTGTGTTTGTTCTCACTTTGACTATCCCTCAAGGTGTCCCACCATGTCACACCCAGAACACAGGACAATAAAACGCAATGTATCCTTGAACATTTGGAACTTTGGTTCCTCTCTGTGTATGGTCAATCTTTTTTTTCCCTATCTGTAAAGTATGTCCAAGGCAGAAAAGTTGGGGGTAAAAATCTCACACATCAAAAATAAAACAGAGGGGCTGGAGAGATAGCTCAGTGGTTAACAACACTGGCTGTTCTTGCAGAAGACCCAGGTTCAAGTCCCAGCACCCACATGGCAGCTAACAACTGTCCATAACTTCAGTTCCAGGGGATCTGACAGCCTCTTCTGTCCTCTGCAGGCATTGCATGACACGGATGCACTTACCTACATGCAGGCAATACACACATACACAAAATAAAATAAAATAAAAAATAAAATACAAAAATAAAACAGAATATCAAGACCCCAATATAGCCTGTGTTATTATTATTCTGAGGCAACAGAAATTTTTCAGTTTTTTTTCTTCTTATGCGCCTACCCTTCCACACATATCTTTGGCTTTTTTTTTTTTTTCCTGAGATTATTTAGCCCAGTACACCAGCTGGCCTCAAACTCATGATCCTGCTATTTGCAGGGTTTACATTTTCTTTTAGTCAAATAGAGCTATGCTACATATATACAATGCAGAGGTTGGCTATTTTCATTTAGCAATGCACTAAAAACATTTCCCTTGCTTGGACAATAATTTTTATCACACAATCTTTTTAAAGTTGTACAGTGTGCTGGACAGCTTCAGTTGTCAACTTGACACACTTGAAGGCAGAACCTCAATTGGGGAATTTTTTCTATCTGATTGGCCTGTGGGCATGTCTGTGAGGCATTTTCTTGATTGCTGAGAGATGTGGGAGGGCTCAGACCACATCCTGACCACCCACTATGGGCAGATGATCCTCCGTTTGGGTTTTATAAGAGAAAAGGCTAAGCACAGGCCAGAGGAACAAGCTAGTAAGCAGCACTCTTCTACAGTCTCTGCTTCAGTTCCTTCCCCGACTTCCTTCAGGGATGAACTGTAACCTGGAAGTTGTAAGAAGAAATAAACCCATTCCTCCCTAAGTTAGTTTTGGTCAGAGTGTTTTAGCACAGCGATAGAAAAAAGCAAACTAGAACAGAAGTTGGCACCAGGCTCATGTGGTATTAGTATGACAGACCTGATCATAATGTGTTTTAAAACATTATAGATGTTTTTTTGAGTACTGGGCTGGAAAAGCTATTGAGTGCTTGGAGCTTAGCAAGCTGTTCTTTGGGAACTTGGAAGATAATGCTGAAAGAAGTATAGATGATGGAGGCTTGACTTGTGAAGTTTCAATGGAAGCAAAGTCTATCAAGGCTGTGTGATATCTTGGATTAAAAACAGATTAAACCTTTGCTTTACTGGGACAATAGATGCTGGTCTGCTGGGGCTGCAGAATCAGCTGTGATTAACAAGAGACCAGCATCATTGAAGTGAAATCATCTGGGAGGTATGTCCCCGGGCACAGCACACAGAACTTGTGGTCCAAAGAGGCGGCCAAGGCTATACATCTCAAGCCAGATGTTAGGCTTGGTAATGAATAAGAGGTTCACAGGTGGTAATGATTTTGGCAGCATCAAAGTTGCAGAATTAAAGAGGTCATGGTGAGAATCTGAGGCTTGGTACCATGTGAGGTTAAAGGAGACCACTGATGTAAGTAAAGCCTCAGTTGCAGTGATGATTCCAGGATATAACAGATGTTAGGGCTCTGGGATGACCAACAAGGGCAGCAGCAGGTGTGGTGTAGAGCTGGCTTGAGCCTACAAGACAAACTGTGCCTTGGATGGCAGAACCAGAGAAGTGGAGCCCAGAAGAGTGTGAGTGAACCCAGATGTCTACACTGCTGGATTCTGGATTTGCTTAAGTGTGCCCTGATTCTTCTTCCCTCTTGAAATAAGATAGTATGTAACTTGTTTTGGATTTCACAGGAGCCCACAATTAAGAGATTTTTCAAACTACTGGAATTTTTAAGGACCATGAGACTTTTAAAGTTGTACTGTTTTATATTGTGATATTAACATGAGATCTTGGGGACAAGAAATGGAAAGGTTATGGTTTAATAGTGATGCGTTTGTGTGTCAAATTGATAAGGGATCAATTGTGCTGCATAGCTTTAGTTGTCAAC